AGGAGAAGGAGAAGGAGAAGGAGAAGGAGAAGAAGAAGAAGAAGAAGAAGAAGAAGAAGAAGAAGAAGAAGAAGAAGAAGAAGAAGAAGAAGAAGAAGAAGAAGAAGAAGAAGAAGAAGAAGAAGAAGAAGAAGGAGAGGAGCAGGAAAGAGAGAAGAAACAGGGAAGGAAAAGTAGGAAGAGGACTATAATGACAAACTATCCTGGACTGTGTAAAACTCCTGAGAACGATAAAACTTTCAATAACCATTTGGAAGAGATTCTTCGTTAAACATTTTTGCTTAATTCTCCCCTTTTGCTAATACAGCAAAACCCCAAACCCTAAAAAAAAAAACACCACCTGCTTTACAGCCAGTACATTCCTAATCCATTTTTACAGTGAAACCAACTCACGAAAGAGTTCCCTGAACTTCCCCACTGGTTATAATCTTTTTACGGATGGCCGTAAAAATGGTAGATCCTTTCCTATTTGGAAATACAAGAAGCTTTTGCCGCATTTCCCCCCACTGTGTCTGAGTGTTTATGTGTGAACACCATGTTTCTAAGGAGTTTCTCAGAGCACAGGATTAACATCAAGCACGTGTGTAATTTTTATACTTTTATCTTGATTTTTCACCGCTTAATTCAGGGAAGCACACACCTGCGTTTCTGCTTTATCCTCTCAATAGGGTTTTAAGGTAGGCCAGGGTGAGATATAAAAACTGGCCCGAGGTCATTAAAATGAGAGTCATAGGAACAAAATCCAGATTTTGCAAACCCTTGTTTACTAGATTTGTTTGCTACTTCCTACAATATCATGATCCGCCAGACCATTAGAACTTTGTCACCCACGAACCATTACATGTTAGACTGCTTTAACATAAAGAAGTATCCCTTCCAGGTTCAAAGTAGACCCACAATTGGATCATCATGAGTCCAAAAGTTGAGCTAGATCCTCTTCTTAATTCAAAGAAGCCTTATTATACTGTTTGAAATGGAATACGTTCTCCTGCTTGATCAGGGGGCTGGACTAGAAGACCTCCAAGGTCCCTTCCAGCTCTATTCTGATTCTGATTCAACCTACCCAACAATATTTGCCCAAAAATAACAGAGCAAAAAGGACTTCATCATCTTTTTTTAAAGGAAATTCAAATTCTGAAGCAAGCAAAGACAATGCTAATCCATGCCTAAATTAAAATGACTTTGATACGACTTGTCACTTGCAAGACTCCTGGCTTGACACCAAAGCTGCCAAGGATAATGTGTATTTGTTTGTGTGTGTATCCACACACAGATAAATCCATGCAGGTGTTTTTTGGTTTTTTTTTTAATGCCAACGTTTTCAAAGCCTTCCTCCTTGGGCTGAAAGTGTGTGACTGGCTTTGTCTCTTTTGGAAGGACTAGAATTCAAGATCTCCTGGTTTCTAGCATGGTGATTTTAACCACTGCACCAAAGGGGCTCTCTGTATCAAGATCACACGATCTCGAGATCACACGATCTACTTCAGAAAGCAAGCCCCTAAACAGCCCCCTTGTTTTCCTATCCTGTGGAAATTTATGGCCTTTCCTGAAGAAGCCTAGATCAATATATGGGAAAAGAGAATAAGTCACCCAGTTGGTTCGCTGTCTGTGGCAGGACTAGAACTCCCAGCTCCCAGTTTCTAACCTGGTGCCTTTAAACCACAGCATCAAAAGGGTCAAAAATGATCGAGAACTTTTGCACCGTTCTAGTCAAATGGGATTCCTAGTACATTTATAAGCTATCAGGTTTGGTAGGATTTAATTCCCCAGCAAATGACTTTGCAGAGGCAACTTTCAAGGGAAGAGCTCTCTTGGTCTACTCAGCCGTAAACACACCGCCCAGTTCAGTGCAACTTATTGCTCCTGGCTCAGCTGGGACAGAAACACTGTACCAAAATAAAAATAAATGAAATAAAATTAAAATTAAAAAAAAAAAAATCCAAGCCGTGCACTCAGAGCTCCTTCCCAAAAGATTGTCACGGGAGAAAACAAGACGAAAAGCCACTTTCGGTGTTGTTGTTAGTTGCATCCATCACAACCCCCTGAACAACATTCCTCCAGGCCTTCCGGTCCTCTACCATCTTCTGGAAGCAGCTAATTCAGGAAACTCTTTCATACTTTTCAGAAGTCCCTTAAGACTTTACAAGAATGAATAGAAACACCCCGTATTTTAGCTATCTGGGGTTCTAGGGAAAAAAAAAAAAGTTTACAGCTTCATTCAGAAGCCCAGAGCTGCATCTGGCCTTCTCTATCCCTCCCCTTTCTCTCCCCTTCCCCAGGGCTGTCTTAAGGCATGGGCCTGATGGGCCCTTGCCCGTGGGCCCCACGAGCAAAGGGCCCCGCCATACTAACCTGTGTATGTTAACCCTTCCATGCACCTTGTATCCTATAAATACAGCAACGTATTTATTACATTTTACTGCATTTCTGTATTAACACTAGCACGCAAATAATTTAATTTCATCGACAGGTTGATTCCTGGGAGTTGTCCTAGGGCCCCCACTGCACTGCTTTGCGGCGGGGGGGGGGGTCCATAATGCTGTGCAGACGGGCCTGCCCTTCCCCCAGCCCTCCCTCCCTCCAGTTCTGTGACTTAGACACCCGCACAGCAAGCTGTTTCTTGGCCCTCCTCCCCTACGGATTGGTGGTCTCGTTCTGGCTTGCTTGGGACACAGCTGGCGAAAACGCCCCCCCCCCTTTTCAACTCCGGGATCCTCGCCCCTTCCCTATTTCTTCCAAAGTCGGGGGGGGGGAAACCTTGCTGGGACCGCAGCGGGAGAAGGAAGGGAACGGGGTCTTGGGACCCCCAAGAAGTGGGACAGGGTAGGTCGTGTTTCTAGGGAAACCCTACAAGCAGCCCCAGCCCGACAGAAACAGACACACACACACACACACACCGTTCTCTTTGTAGGGTCCCAGCCCTTCCCGCAACGCCGGCTCCTCGGGGGTGGGGTACCTTGCCTGCCCCCTGCAAGAAGCAGGGGAAAGGGGGAGAGGCTCCGTTTTCGGCCCCTTGGCTTTCACCCCCACAGCATGCCCGGCCCGCTGGAATCGGCAGCTCGGAACCTCGCTTAGAGCAGCGGACCCCCCCCCCCCCCCAAAAAAAACCACCTGCCTCTTGTGGCCGCGAATTCCGCAAGCCACGGCTCTTCCCAAGGAGTCCTTGCTCCGTCCTTACCGCCTTCCACCTGCTCTGGTGCCCGGGAAGGGAGGCTTCCCACCTTGGGGACCCCTTCTCCCCTCCCTCCAAGGAGGCTTCCCACCTTGGGGACCCCTTCTCCCCTCCCTCCAAGGGGCGCGGCGCCCTTTGGGCTTTCAAGGGGGGGGGCCTGGAGCTGCGTTCCCGGGCGGGGGAGGGGGGGTTTCCTTCCTCGTCCCGCCTTTCCCCTCCGCGGCCCCCGCACCTAAGCCTACCTGTTGGCGGGGCGCACGCTAAGCAGGTAGTTGCGCCTATCCGGCCGGTACTCCACCAGGGGCCCGTTATCCTCGCCGTCGCTGCCGGGCCCGGGGCAGTAGCCCAAGGAAGACCCGTTGCCCGAGTAGGAGCGGCCCAGAGGTCTCCGCCGGGAACCCATCGCGATCGGCAGCCCCGGCGGGGCCAAAGCGGGGTCCGGAGCGCACACGCGGGGGGTCCCGGCCGGTTCCCAGTCGGGGGCTTGAATGCGTTGCGGGGCCGCTCCGCGCAGCGCCCCAGCCGCCGTCAATCACCCCGGGGAGGCCCGCGAACCCGGCTATTTATAGTCGGCCCACTTGGGGCCGTCACTCAGGCGGAGCTGGGGGGGAGGGTGCCGGGCTAGGGGGCTCGGCCAGTCGGCCGGCCGGGCTACGAGGCAAGAGAGGCCGCCGGGGGGGGGGGGGAGTGGGGAGTGGGGTGGTCTCTACGCTGCAGGGAAGTCGCGGTGCGTCTCCTAAAGGGGTCTTTGGGGGGGGGGGGGGGCGCTTTGACCCTCCTTTTCCCAGCGCTTGTTTCCCCCCCCCCCAAAAAAAACCGGGTCGCCCCCCCCCCTCTGAAGCAGGTTACCCCCCCCCCCCGCATAGAAACTTTTCTGAACCGCATCGCAGCAGTTTTGGAAGGGACCTTGGAGGTCTTCTAGTCCAACCCCCCTGAACTAGAACCAGCGGTTCTGCTTCTAGTTCAACCGCTGCTGCTCGCAGCTTCCAGCCTTCCTTGTTAGAATCGCGGCACCCCCTCCTCGCTCTTTCCAGCGGTGCCTTCTCCCTTTTGCGTAACCTGTTTGTAAAGACAAGGAACCTGTATTAAGGGCGCATCGGAACTTTGGGGAGCTGGCCTTCGGGTTCTTTTCACGGGAGGGAAATGTCCTGATTTTGCGCCTAGGCCTTGGCTGACACAACTGTAGTGACCTACTAGGTTGTCAGAAGAAACACCCGATAAGAGTTCTCTAGGACAGGGGTCTCCAACCTTGGCCACTTGAACACTTGTGGACTTCAACTCCCAGAATTCCTCAGCCAGCTGGCTGGGGAATTCTGGGAGTTGAAGTCCTCCAGGCTTAAAGTTGGCATGGTTGGAGACCCCTGCTCTAGGAGACAAACTTCTTGCACTCACCACACACACACACACACCGTACACAAAATGCAAGGAAAATGGGGTGAGGGCCTGCTGTAATGGAACAGTAGCCTTGAGGATTTTTGGAGTAAACTGTGCCTTTGTATCCCTTCTGGGTCCAAGATGCAAAACTGAGCTATTCCAATTACAGTTTTGGGGGATAATCTGAACCGTTCTCTGAACTGGGACTACCTGTGGATGAAAGGGTTAAAGCTAGCCTGGTGACTGTCCCCGTTGTGCACCTCCAAAACTATCATCCCCAGCCAGCATGGCCAAGAACCCAGCTTCCAGAACCCCACACTTGGGCCCCTTTCCCATTAAGCCTTATCACCTCTCTACCACCTTCACATTTCCGATTGGGATTGGCTAACTTTGGGATCCAGTAAGGCCATGCAATCCAGCCAGCCAGTAGAGACAGGCAGATAACCTGTTCAGCTGTGAGATTTATCTCCATTCAACCCTCCAGTGCACAAGGTCTCCAAACTTGGCAACTTTTAAGACTTGTGGACTTCAACTCGCCGAATTCTCCAGCCAGCCATGTCTGTTTGTTTGTTTGTTTTTCTCTTAACCTCCTAAAGTGGAGAGAGATTGCAGAGGAAGGGATTATAAGAGAGTAAGCTATGCTTGGCTGGAGGATTCTGGGAGTTGAAGTCCATGAGTCTTAAAGTTGCCAAGTTTGGGGACCCCCTGCTCCAGTGGGTGAATGGAGCCAGTGGGTGGGAGAGTCAGCTCCTGTTGTTGTTTTTCCTCCCAATTCTGGCATTACAATCCAATCCAACGACAAGACCCACTTTAAACTGCATCATGTGCCGTGGAGGTATGCAGAAGAGGCTGAGCAGAAGGCCTATGGCATCACCGCCCTGGCTGGCTGCCCACCCTGAACCTACCTCCCTGCCTTTGGCTCGTACACTTGTAAACTTTAGGAGCTGCAAACGCAGACGGCGGCCTGCCAGGGTGGGCTCTTTTGTATCGGATTAAAAAGACAAGAGTTTCTTTCCCTCTACAGCTTAAATTGTACATGGCACTTTTTTTTTTATGAGCCGTGTCTGCAGTGGTGGGGTGGTGAGGTGGAGGTGATTTAAAAGGGTCCATGCAGACACCCAGGAGGAATTACCATCCCTGTCCTATTGTTTATTTTTCTTATATGTATCCATTTCATGTATTCATAACTATGTTTATACTTATAACTATTATCTTGTAAGCGATTGACAAATAAAATAAATAAAATAAATCTTGTCTTTTTTCTCCTTCTTAAAAAAACAACAACGATAACTTCCTCCAAGGGAACGCTGGTCCAGATTTAATCTCCCTCATCTCCGTGGCCTGATTAAAAAATAATAATCTTAAACTGTTCTTGGTCCCAGAATCAAAAGAAACTCTCTCTTCTCTAGCCTGCAAAACTCCTGTGATTTGGACGAGGCTTCCTGCAACCTACCAAAACAACAACAACAAAACATCCTTTACAAATTGCACCAGATACAGTTTCGCAAAACGTGTTGAGTCACGCTGGAGCAAACCACATTTTTGCCGTAGGTTGTGTGTAGGGAACATCAGTTTCTGGAAAAGTTCCTTCACTCTTAGGAAGCTTCTTTTGGAACCCTTAGCCCATCCTTCCTCTCTACACGCACGCACACAAACGCACATGTAACACTGTGAAAGGCAACTGTGTCAACTTTTTTGGCAGGTGTTTGGAATCCCAAATGGAACAGGACTGGCTTACTGTATCTCCAAGTAAGAGAAGCATTATCAATAACAGCTGGCTCCATAATACAGTACAATTGGAGGGGAATCCACACTTCAATATGCACATATGCTACAATACAAGAATATACACCATGGTGCAAATACTACAACCCCTCCCTACCCCAAACTACTAACACACAATGCCTTGAACCACATACTGAGCAAATTTAGTGGTGCTCTCTGAGCTGGGTTGCTTTGTTGCAGATTTTTCATTACTCAACTAAGCCACAAAGTTTTAGCACTGATGATGTTCCCTAGTTGGGTGATGCAATGTCTGCAAGAAAACAACCAGGCTCAGAGAGCACCAAGGACCCCATAATGTAACCCTGAGCTACAAAATGTTTACTGCAATTTAACCCAGTGTGCTATATATGAATTCATCCTGATTGATGAGTTTATCATGCAGGCTATTGTCTGAATCCAGAGAACTGGAATAATGCACTAAATTGTTAACCCTGTATGAATTGGGCAGCCATATAAATTTGTTTTTTAAAAAAACCAGGATGAAGTTAATCAGGGTGTGTCCTGCCTAAAACCAGCTAAATGCTTCTTTATCTTAGAGAGATTCTCTAACTGCATAGTTCCCACAGTGATAGGGATGTTAAAGTGGGTTGGGGTCCCGAAGGGGCCGATGTGCTTAAAGAGGGCTGTGAAAATATTTACAGACCTCTCACATCCTGGACATTAAACTGTTTCAACTTCTACCCTCAAAATGACGCTGTAGAGCACTGCACACCAGAACAACTAGACACAAGGACAGCTTTTTCCCCAACACCACCACTCTACTAAATGAGTAATTCCCGCAATATGGTCAAACTACTTACTAAGACTATTTTACTATTATTCTTCTCATCCTTCCTAGTACCTAATCTCCTCCCACCGATGACCTTGTTGCTTATATCTTTACGATTTATATTATTTTATTTAGTTTCCTAATATGATTTAGATTGCTTATTTAGTATCCTATGACTGTCACTCAGTATTGTATCTTATGATTTTTGATGTGTTTTATTTTTTTCTTATGTACACTGAGAGCCTATGCACCAAAGACAAATTCCTTGTGTGTCCAATCACACTTGGCCAATAAAGAATTATTCTATTCTATTCTATTCTATTCTATTCTATTCTATTCTATTCTATTCTATTCTATTTCTATTTCTATTTCTATTTCTATTCTATTTCTATTCTATTCTTAATTGCTGTTCTATTCCATTCCATTCCATTTTTATTTCTATTCTATTCCATTCTCTATTTATTCTATTTTTAACTGCTATTCTATTCCATTCCATTCTTATTTCTATTCTATTCTATTCTCTATTCTATTCTATTCCATTCCATTCTTAATTGCTATTCCATTCCATTCCGTTCTTATTTCTATTCTATTCCATTCTCTATTCTATTCTTAATTGCTATTCTATTCCATTCCGTTCCATTCAGAAGAGGCCTGGAACTATTCAATCCAAGCCATCTTTTTCGAAACCAAGAATTAGCATGTGCTGACCTCCCCTGGCAGCTGCGGGAAGGTGGCTTCTCTGAAAAGGAGGAGTCTAATCCACAGTTAGACAGACAGAAGGCAGAAGTTGGGAGAAGAGGAGGGCTCCTGAAGACTCCTGCAAACTCTCCTGCCATGCTTAGAAGCCATGACATAATAACACAACAATAAAGGACCTCTACCTGCCTGTCACGTCTCGACCGCTTCGCCTTCTTTCAGCAATTGTGTGAAATGTATCAATGCTCCCAGGATACCAGAATCTGAGACACGGAGAAAATTAGTTACAGATACAAGTAGTCCTTCACTAATTGAACCCAAACTTCATGTTGCTAAGTGAAACATTTGTTAAGCGAGTGTGCCCTATTTTACGGCTTTTGTTGCCACCGTTGTTAAGTTGAATCATTGCATTTGTTAACATGGTTGTGTCTGATTTTATGAGGGTGGTTGTTGTTGGTTTTTTTGCTACCGTTGTTGTGTGAGTCTGGCTTCTCATCCCGGCTTATGGGTGGAGCATTTGCCACCACATGCCATCAAAGTCAGTAAAAATTATTTAGAAATGCTTTTGCCCTACTAAAAGAAACAGCAGGGAAATTAGCAGGCCCATTACAAAAGGGCACATTAAAAAGTTGGATCTGGACCAATTTCGCTTCTTTTGCTGTGAATGCTAATACGCTTATCGCAGAAGGGCATGTTTTTACAACAGGTTTTAACGACCAATTCCCCAAGATATTGTATGAACATTTAACTTCTAATAAGACAGCTCTGAATACAATATAGA